GCTGAGGCAGAGCCCCCCCAACACTGCATGGGGCAGTGGGGGTCAGTGGGGATTGCCCCCTGCCTGGTAACACCTGCTGAGCTGGGGCTTTTTTTCCCTCCAAGTGCCGGGAGCTGGGGCTGGGAGAGGGACAGAGGATGGGCCGGGCCTGGCCTCGCTGATTTGGAGATTTGGCTGCTGCCAAATCTTGGAATCAGATTTGGCCAAATCAAATCAGGACAGTGATTCGAATCTCTGAATCAAATTGCTGTTTCCCCGAATCGGCCGAATCTGAAGTGAATACTAGTTGCTTTGCACAGGCCTAGTGACTAATACTTGCTGACTGGTCTCCACATCAGCTGGGGAGACTTAATGCCTACACCTGTCTGTGATCCTGGAATACAATATTTGCATGGGAATGCCCTGAACTGTGCATCCTCATCTGGTTCTCATGCTGAGCATCTGAATATCCCTTTGCTCCTTGCCTACTCTTGGAGTTCTTGTCCCTGTTGTCTATAAACATCTTCAAGGCATGGTCCCAAACCAGCATCACTTGCATTCAACCAAGCAGTGTATGAATATCATACTATGGCAGGTCACTTAGCATGCCTGTCAGCTGGCAAGGGCCAATTAAAGTTACCTGGCCAGAATAGAGCTGGGCTTGAATCATATAAACCCAGGGTGTAGGCTGGTCAGGCAGCCTAGCCTTGAGAGCCATGGAGAGTGGAGTTACTCGGCAGCAGGGCTCCTGGTTAACATCAGAGCTGGGGTTAAGCAACACTGGTGGTTTGTGGAAGGGACTAAGGGGAGGTAATGAGGTTCCAGCTGGCTCAGAAGGGAGAGAGGGGGTCAAGATCCCAGAAATTTATGGCCCAGGAGGGGGTGAGTGTCAGCAAGGCCAGCGAGCCCAGAGGTCTGTAGACCAGGAGGGGCAAGTACCAACAGGGCCAAGGAGCCCAAAATCTCACTGGCCTAGGAACAGGATCAGGGCCCAGAGATGGACCAAAGGCCGAGGAGGGCCATAGCCGGAGACTGGCAAGACCAGGGGAGCTCAGGAGTCTCAACTGGCTTAGGAGGGCCAGGGTTCAGAGAGAGGGGCCAAAGAGTGGGGGTCACAGCTGGAGACCAAGGGGTCCAAGGAGTCTGTAGCTTGAGAGGGGTGAGAACTGGGCCTGGAAGCTCATAGCCTGGGGGGGCAAGGGGAGTCTCGTGTTGGCCGGAATGAGCAACATCTGCAAGGCAAGGGCATGGTGTAAGGCAGGGGTGGGCAAAATACAGCCCATGGGCCAGATCTGGCCTGCCAGGCCATTCTATGTGGTCCATGGGGCCCCTAAAAATTTAGAAAATTAATATTTATCTGCTCCTGGCTACCTGTCAAAGAGGACAGGAGCCAGGGGCAGTAGGACTGAGGGGAAGCTGGCAGCAGTGCCCAGCAGCCAGGCCTGCCTGGACTCTCCCCATCTTTCCCCCCACTGGAAGACTCTGCCTAGCAGAGGTTTCTGGCCTGGGGTCTTCGGGCTGTTCCCACCTTCCTCTGCTAAAGAAGGAAACTCGGATAAGAACGCAAGGGGGGTGGGGAGAGAGGCAGGGGGAGGACGATGAGAAATCTCCCCAATCCTCAGGGCTGGCCTGACTCCTGTTGAGTCCTGCAGTCATGGCCATGCAGCTAGGAGCCATGTGGTGGTGGAGTGGCAGGCAGTGAACAGAAAAGCAGGGAAATGGCAGCTACAAGCTGGGGGGAGGAGTGACAGTGGGCTCATGGGAGCATGGGGCCTGTGCCAGCGTCCCAGGGCCAGCACTGGCAAGGCCCAGAGTGGGGTGGCAGGAGCACAGCTGGTGCTGGACCCTGTCCAGCTAGTGCAGGACACTGGCACGGGCCCCGTGCTCCTGCCCAGCTGTTGCTGCACTGCCACATGCCAGCTCACTGCCACTCCCCCCTGCCTGTAGCTGCCATTTCCCTGCTTTCCTGCCCACTGTGATACTCCAGCACCACATGGCTCCCGGCTGCATTGCTGGACTGTGGGAGCATGGGGCCCGGAGCGGAGGGTGGGGGAGCTGCAGGGAGGAAGGGACAAAGTGTGTATGTTCATAAGGTGAGTCCCATGCACACACCCCTTGCTGAAAGGAATACTTCTGGGGGCAAGGGGAAGGACTTCTGGTGGCAAATGTCATGGTTTAGGGGGCAGGATTTCTGATCATAAGATGATGACCGGGGGTGGGGCACCTGTCAGGGGCTGGGGCTACCCATGCAGCCTTTGACAGCTTGCCAAAACTTGGTAAGCAGCCCTCCACCCAAAATAATTGCCCGCCCCTGCTGTAAGGGGTAGTCAGAACCAAATCATTAGCCCTTTAGGCAATGAGCATGGGAAAAATAAGGAAGAAGGAAGTTATTAAAAAAAAAAAAAAAAAAAAAAAAAAAAATTAGCAGAATTAAATGTTACCTGTCCTAGTCACTTCCCTAACAACATGCAAGACTATAAAGTCAGCTGCCCCCACATGAGTTAT